ACACTACTCACACCTACAAAAATCCAAAACCATTTCTCCTCACACAAAAAAGAAATATTCACCAGAAAGAACACACATCTCTCAGCTCATCAAGTATTTGAGTTCCCTCAGGCCTTTGCAAGCCCAACACCACAAGTGGCCTGTGTGGAAAGTGTCCCCAGGTGACAAAGCAACCTGAGAGTTACAGAGGGACCACACCCTCTTGTGAGGAGTTTTCCTATGGAAACTGTAAGAGGAGAAGGACATCACACTTTATTCACTAGAAGTAGGATTCTGGGCACAGATTTATCATATAAAACCCCCGTCAGATGACGGACGCCTGCTTCCCGTCTTTTGTTTTTAAGACAGAGTTTTTGGGTTGAGAACGTGTCATTTTGAAGTATGGACTTTCAACAGTGATTGCTGCTATTACTACTATTAATTTGAAGTCCAGGACTCTGTGCTTCCACAGTATTTACTCAGAGTGGCTTAAGCATGGACTAGCCTTGAAAAACATGGCTCCATTTCACTGTTTGTCTGAACTAAAGTGCCCAGAATTCAGTATCAACAAGCACCAAATGACCTTTCTAAACACACCTAATTTACTGCATCTATTTAGTTTATGATAATAAATAAAACCTCTGCAATGCTTCATAATAGCAGCAATGCCTTTCAAACGACCCTGCACTTAATGGCCAATTTCAGAGCATTAAATGTTGCTAACAACCCATTGAGTGGATATCACTGAGCTTCCGTTTATAAATATCAAATTATGTAGGTCACAGTGTTACCTTTGCTGGTTAGTTGCAGAATTTATACCGATGTTCTGTAGAATAATTACTAGACACTTGATCATAGTGATTTTTTTTATTAGAAGTGAGAAAACTCCTGACTTTCTGAAGGTCCCAGGCTCCCCCTCAGATACTCTCTCTAACTTTCCCCCCTCAGGATCAGGTAATTAAACGGGTATTGATGCAGAGGGAAGCGAAGCACCACATGGCTTGGCAAAGTGTTTCCCTAAAGTTCTGTCCTGTAGCTGTGGATGCAAACTCAAGCTGGTCATGTGCAGAATTCCAGCATGTCAGCCCACTACCCCTCGGCACAGCCAAATGTTTCAGCAGCTGCCCTTTTGTCCTGTTTCTTAAATAAACAAAGAACAGATACAAATTAATGACCTAAATTTATGGCAAAACACACTGCCTTCCCAGAGCAAACAGCCTTAAAAGAACAGATGCTAAAGTAACGTTTCTTACCCACAGACCCCCAGAGATCATTCCGGAGAGCACCCCTAGTCCATAGAAGTGAAACTAATTGTGTGTTAAAATGTAACGGTTTTGTGCAATGTCACGTTCACAAGCCAGTTTCACAAGCTTCCGGGTGTGGCCAGTGGGTACCCACTGTTTATTTGGTGGTTTGAATGCCACTCTTCTGCTCCAAGTGTCCTAACAGCTTTATTTTACCTTCACGTTTTATTCCCCTCCCCAGGAAAGACCAAAAGGCCATTTTTTCTAGGATTCTAAATAATACGGTTGGATTTGGTTGATAGTATCCTTGCTGTGATTTCTAAGATTGTCAGGATGGTAGAAAACCTTTGTTTTAGGGTCTTAATGGTGAAATGAGATATTTTTTCAAGAAGATGGGTTATGTCTATGGAACTCAGTTCAGAACTTGTTTTCTGCATTTCCCTTGCTTTCTGTTTTCCCCACTGCCAGGCACACATCACGCCCCCTTCCCCAGAAATGACGGAACCCGAAAGCCTCACTGCTAACTCTGCATCCAGGGATAGAGCTAGGTCACCTCCAAGCAGACATCAGAGTGAAAAGGAACAGCGTGTTCATTGGCCACACGCCGTGCACTCTCTTTATCCCACACTGTACAACATTCCCAATCTTATTCAATAATTTAATATACATTTTCTTGTCAAGCTTCTTGGCAGCCGGCTATGCAGCTTGCAAGATGGACCGAGAATGCTACAGGTGGGCTGATTAGCGGGTGGCATTTCTGAATTCGAGCAAGCTGTTAGCATTATGTCTGTTTGCTTTAGGTACAGATGTGAAATGATTTGACAGTAGATTTCAAAAGTGTGTGAGTACATTTTTTGTATGTCAAACTATGGAAATCTGTGGGTTTTTTTTTAATTTCACACATTGATAGTATGTATTGTATTTATTAATTTCAGAAAGTATATGCCACTGGCATGGCATAAAAATTAAAAAAGCAGTATCCATAATGTATAAAATGAACAGATTGGATAAACATCCCACCCCCAGTTAATCAGAAAGTCTTATCTCGTGCTTCAGAAAAAGTCAGAGGTTGGAATATCATAGCCAGAAATGAGAATCTTTGCAAAGTTTGTTTTAATTGGTTTTATAGTGTGATGGTGATTTAAAAAAAAAGAAAAGAAAAAAGGGAAAAAAGAAGCAAAAGAAATAACAACGACCACACACAACAAATGGCGTGTGGAACATTTGCCAGTCACATTAAGTGACATCTGCCCTTGTCTAAAATTTCAAAGGTGATTTCAGGATTTATAAGGGAAAGTCTGCTTGACATATAAAAAGAAAAGTTAAAATAAATCCTAGGAATTTACATTTCCATGTATGCCTAGGCTACAAGATGAACGTGAGAGCTGAGATGCCGGAGCTGGTGAACAGCCTGGGTGGCTTCTATGGCAATTCCAGGTGACTTGGGGGCCGGGTCTCTTGGCTGAGGGCTCAGGAAAGGCACAGGAGGAGTTCAAGGGAATATTCATGATTAAGGCTGGTGGGCACAAGTTCACTTTGAAGCTACAAACTGTTAGGATGGCCTATTGTTCTCTAATGTAACTCCCGCCTTAGTCTACGGAGAGTTCATTGTTAATACACCCAGCCTCATCTCTCCTGATAGAAAACTCTGTAGAAGCAGTAGATGGCAGAAAGCCTCCATTCTTCCCACTGCTCTGGTCCTAGTCCAGTGTATCCAGGGGAGACCTGAGTCTGGTAGAAGCTATACTAATCCATTATATATACAGGTTTGTGTGCACAGGAACACAGGAAGTAGGGAGGACCACGAGAAACACAAGCTAGAGCCCTAACCCCCGTAGGGTGAAGAAAGTGGAGACCTCTGGGTAAAAATGCCACTCGCCCCATCACTTGTCATTACAGCTAGTGCCAGGCAACAGGGGAGAGGCTCTCATTCTGTCTCCATCATTACCACAGTGTAAACAGCACTAGGCAGCCTTGAAGAATAGCTAACATGATGCTCCGATTTTACAGATGAAGACCCATGGCTTGGAAAGGGAACGTGTCAAGGCATTTTACAAACAGATTCCGTTTGTTCATCTCAGCAGATTTTGTGGCAGGCTGAAAAAGCCCGCTTCCCCAGGGATAGAACAGATGTGAGGAGAGCCATTTGCTCATGGGCACACAGGTGGACTTTCAGGCTCCAAGTTTTGCTTAAGACATAGTTTTCAAGATCAGATCCATTCAACATTATTTTCTGTGCATTCACTTTGTGTCACACGCCATTCTATGTGCTGAGAACAAGCAGAAAATAAACTAGAGCACTCCCTCTGCCCATAGGGCCCTTCTTTCTGGTGGGAGAGACCAACAGTTCACACAGACCGTGTCTAGGGTGGTGACAAGAAAAGGCTACAGTGTAAAGGAAGTGACCAAAGGTGATATCAGAGGTGTGGTAGGCTGTGCCCAGTAAAAGTCAGCCACCTTGGTCGGGGACTCGGACCAAAGGCACGGGGCTAAATATAAAGCCCTGAGAGGGAAACAGCTTGCTGAGACCATGAAACAGTGAGTTGGCTACAGCATGAGCTGGGAGACCAGAGGATGCGTGAGATGGAACGCAGGGTTCGGAGGCCGTGTTAGAGAGGGAGAAGGCACTCTCAGGGTTATCACAGAAGCCCCCACATTGTAAATATTCCTCACAGTCATGAGGCAAAGCATCCCAAATTCTGCACAGCAGGTTTCCCAGCCAGCATTTGGAGCCCAGCTCATCGAAAACTGGGTGTAATTACGCACCAGGTCAGAACTTGCTGAGTCCTCTGCACACAACATTGGAATATTGCTTTCAATGCCTGCTCTGGTTTTCCTGGGCACTCATCTCCACCTCTTACCCTGTGTACATCCAACATTTCCATCCATTTGGGCAGTCAGTAATTTGAAAAAAAAGTAATCATTTTAGCCCCTAGACCTTCATTGAAACTGTTTTCCTGTTTATTCTTATAACAGGTCTCCAGTTAGTATATACATGTGTTTATATATTCTTTAAGTATGTAAATTAATTGATTATATATTCTTTAATTATATATTACTCAATATATAGTAAGTAGTATTAATATATGATAATCAAAATAAGTAGCAATAAGGAAAAGGGCATATAATATGGAATCCATATGGAAATCTTTAAGGATACAACCCACACGAGGGTCTGTATCGTCACCCTTTGCCCTTCATACCTGGCATACTGTAGGCACCTAAGCAAAATCTGATGAATGTTACAGGGCATTTTAATCAGAAGAGAAAGTGGACAGCTAAGAGAATTTCTTTCACATTTTACCTTTCTGATATGATTGGAATGTGAGTTATTTTCTCCCCCATCAAAACCTACTTCTAAAACTAGCGCATGCTAGAGGAAAGCTCCATCCTGGATGTGGAGCTGGAATGTTCTCCTTGAACGGCATCTTGGGTGTGCGGAGCGTCCCGAACAGACACTGCCCTGGACGTCCTTCCTGGGTGTAGGGTGATGGCACCCACGGTTCAGAGACGAATAGGAAGAAGTCAGAGTCCACAAACACTTCTTGACCTCTTGCATTTGTCCAGCTGCTGCGGCTGTGCCAGCACCCCCCCCCTCCCCAAGCCCAGCTGCTCCGTGCTGCCTTTGTGTGTCTAACATCCCTCATCTGCACCATCAGGTCTTAGGAGCGGCAAGCATTCCCTGAACTTGATACTTACCCTCTTCATCAACAACATCCCATAGACACCACCTGTGTGTGCACATGCATATGCCATTCTAAAACTCCACGCCATGAAACCATTACCAGTCATGTTTATTTTCAGGACGAGAAAAAGAGTCTTCTTTAAAAAAAAACCCAACACAACAACTTGAAAAATAACAAACTTCGTTGCAGTGTGTGCGCCCCTGCTAGGAAGGGGATGCTGCTGCTGGCTTGTCATGATGAGGGCCAGCGCCTGAGTGATGCACACAGAGAGATGATGGATTTGAGCTGATCCGTCTCCACTCCCAGGTTGCCCAGTCCCCCCTGTGACCAATGGCAAGCATTTGTGAGACAGCTGGCAGGGTGAGGGGTGCAGGCCAGGCTATGCTCCCAGCTCACTGGCCTCTGCACAGAGCAAAGGCTCATTAGCATTTCCTCTCACCAAATCAACTCATTGGCTCCAATGATCTGTACTGCTTAAAACCTTGCGACAGCTGTAAAATTTGTCAACCAGGCAGGGTTAGGATTTGGGTTTTGACACTTCAGTACCCAATCCCTATACTACATGTGTTATATATGTGGCGATGCAAGGGTTTTTTTGTTTGTTTGCAAGGACATCTTTTTAAAAAATATATTTCCCAAAGTAACAAAATACGGGTTGGTTGTACATTTGACCTGGCAGCGAGCTACTCAAGCAGGGACTTCAGAATCTATGGAAAGATGTACGAGGTTGAGGTAACTGCAGACAATGTTACTCACGCTTCCTAGGCTACGCAGCATTACTGCCCATGGGGGGCTCATCAGGCAACATCAAAGTGGAAAATGTGGAAGGAATCACCTTCCAATCCCAATTCACTTTTTTTCTAGCAGTTATTTGTGTATTTACATATTTATTGATTGATTTATTTATGTTGGATACAGGGTCTTATTATGTTGCCCAAGCTGTGTAACAGGTTTTCTCTTTGGGCTTCCAGCTCATAGAAAGTGACATGCCTTATTGTTAACCATGAAAGTCAGCTTTATTTTAGGCTTGCTCCTAACTAGTTACTATAACTTAAATTAACCCGTATTTCTTAATGTATTTTTTTTACATGGCTCAGTTACCTTTACCCTGCATTGCCTGTCCCCTTCCTACATGTCAAGCTGGCGACTCCTTTCTTCTTCCCAGAGTTCTCTCTGTCCAGAAGGCCCGCCTATACCTCCTGTCTAGCGGTGGACCAATTAGCTTTTTATTAAGCCAATCATAGGGACATATCTTTACACAGTGTACAAAATATTCCAAAACATTTCCCTCTTTTGGTCTAAATAAAAAGGAAAGGTTTCAACTCTAACATAATAAAACTATAAACAATAAGAATCATTATCTGGTAAGGATTACATTCATAATGACCAGTTCATTTGCATTTAGCAAATTCAGAGGAAAAACTCCTGTGTTCAGGGGACCCTCCTGCCTTAGCTCACAAGCTGTTGGGATAGGGAGGCCTGTGTCAGCAATCCACTTGGAATTCAAACCCATCCGCTCACTGCCCATGTATCAGCAAGTTCACTTCTGTGCCCCACCCCCCACGAAGTTACCAGACAGAAAACGAGTTACCACATCCAGATATACGTCCTTTGTATAAACTCTGGAATGATTTTTTTAAACTCAGAGTGCGTTTTCCAAATGCCAATGGTCTAATTCAAAGTCCACGAGACTCTGTCCCTCGAAGGCACTGGCGCAGGAGCGGGCGCTTTCCGTTCGTCTGTTCACTGGAGACACTCAGGTTCTCTGCGTAGGGTGTGCGGTCTTTTGAAACAGGAAGCACATGGAACTCTGTGCCGTTCATTCTCCTTTGAGAACCTTCTAGTTCCCTTTTTGGCGTGGCCTGGAAGGGAAGGAAGACAGCAGCTGGCTGTCCACACAGGAGCTTTGCGCATCCCGCTTCCCAGGAGGCCCCACATGATGCTGACCGTGGAGCGGGCACTACTGGAACGAGGCTGAGAGGGCTGCGCCGTTCTCAACCTCAGTGTCCCGCCTCTGTTGTCCAGTTCGCTGAGCTGTCTACCCTGAGCCTGCCGCTGCTTAGACTTGTGATGTCAAATAATGTAGTGAGATAGCCCTAGAATGAAATCATGAAAATTGTATAGACATCTCTTTTTAAGGCTTAAAATAAAAAAAAAACCCACCTCATGGTGTGTGGAGTGCAAGCAAGAAACAGCTGTTGAGAGAATGGGATAATGGATAACGAGTCTGGCGAGCAGCTAGGTGGAGATGGCTCTGTGGTCCTAGGCAGGGGTGAGGATGCTTCTGGCAGGGAGAAGGGAGGACGCTGGTATAATCAATCAAGTCAGGAATGCCAAACATTGCATTTTACAGTGAGGACTTGCCTCTCAGTGGGTTGCATTTTCTCACTCATAATTCTCTTCAGTGGGACAGAGGGGGGGAGGGAGGCAGGGAGATGGAGAGAGGGCAGAGGGAGGGAGGGAGAGAGGAAGGGAGGGAGGAAGAGAGGGAGGCAGGGAGGGAAGGAGGGGGAGGGACGAAAGAGAGCCTATTTTATAGGCAACTTTAAGGAGGGGCCTTCTTGCTGTTCTTTGCTAAGCATGAAGTAAGGCATGCAAAGTCCCAGTCACACTGCCTTGGGGTGTGTGGGCCTACAGTTCCTGTAACTTAAAAATGGCTTTGAACCTGTGGTCCCAGCTACTGAGAAAGCAGAATTAGGAGGACTGCTTGAGCCCAGGGTTCAGAAGCCAGCCAGGACAGCATATCAAGGCTCCATCTTTTCTGGGAAAAATAAAAGGGCTGGAGGATCAGTGTGGTGGCCAAGCAAACTCGGGAGGAGGGGACCATTGCTCAGCACTACTCTCCACCCAGAGGAGATGGAGGAAATGCACACACCAGACATTTCAGTGTCTTCTGAGCCTGGTTTGGTCTCCATCGTGACATCTCTTTCCTGTTCTATAATGATCCCTTGCATAGTGTTTTTATAGGAATCAAATAGTATATCTACTATTTAATGTCTGTTCACATTTTTAACAGTTTGACGTCTTTAAGTGGCATATCTATCTAGAGGCCAGCCATCCTTATTTATACAAGGCTAAATTGTTCTCAGAGTAATACACCAGTGCATGACTTAAATGATGCTAACAAAATGTGTCAGGGATCTTAGCAGCGTGCCTTCACATCCAGATTGAACATATTGTTAGCACTGGGTAGGTTTTTTTTTAATCCTATGCATTTTACTAAAAATAGTTTACCAAAAGAAAATCTGCTTTAATTTAATTGTGCTTTAAAAAATCCATCATCTGCCAGGAATTAGTTACATTAACATTAGAGTTTGAAACTATATAGTCAGCAAAAGGAAACTCCACATAAAAGAAATTGCATCGGTGCTCAAGATGTATCTGGATGGAAGCAAGCAACGAGGCCAGGAGTTCCACTTCCAGCACCAAAATCAGAGTAGGGATGTACAAATGTGTTCGTGCATTTACCTGTCTATCGACCTTCATTCTATGGGAGACAGAGCTGGGAAAACCTGGAACTCCGTTAGGTGGGGTAGAAGGTTTTGCTGGGCACACGGGATGGCCACATCCTCTTGATGCTAATCCAGACAGAAGGGCCACAGCTGTGCCAGGGCAGTCACAGCAGGGACAGCAGCCTCCCCACAGGCACAAGATGCTCAACTTGGTGTCAAAGGTAACAACGGACAGAGCCACAGAGAGCCATAAGACTTCCCTTATCAGTCGCACTCTGCTCCCAGATGTGTAACAACGACAGAGCCATAGAGAGCCATAAGACTTCCCTTATCAGTAGCACTCTGCTCCCAGATGTGAGCAGCCTTCCCTCGCCCAGAAAATGCAGGGACCTGACAGTTTTCCTCCATCTTACAAGCTTGTCCTAACCCATCAGCAAGTTTGATGTGTGTTCTTTCCTCCCTTGCGGCCATGCTGAATCAGCAGATTAGCAAGCATAGCCAGAACTGGGGGTTCCCTTCCTGAGGGGCTTGCTAAGCATTTAGGAGCTGAAGTGGGAGAAGAGCAAGATGGATGAAGGCAGGAGGGGTGCAGAGAGAGAAAAAGGCCAAAACAATGGCAAAAACCAGACAAAAGGCCACATTGCCTTCCTGGGAGGGATTCTTGGTTTTGTGTGAAAAAAAATTTTTTGAAGGGATCTTTTTTCTTTTAATTCGAAGGAAACAATCCTACAATTGAGGATGCACCTGGTTGTTCTAGATAACTATGGAAGGAATGACAACAAATTTTAAGGGTCACAAAAGTCAGAAGAACAACCAGACCCCATAAGAAAAGGCAATCTTGATGTCCAGTTGGATACTTGAGATTCATGGGACACTAGAAAGACAACAAAAGGAATATGTGTCAATAAATCTGGATTATTTGGCCATATCATCTTTGGCACACTTGAACTTCTAAATAAGTCAAAGTTAGTCTGGAAGCCTCAGACTGCCCAGATGAATGTAACGAATGCTTTTTTTTAAATTACCTTTCTTCCTCCTTTCCTTCCTTCCTTCCTTCCTTCTTTCCTTTATTTACCTGTGTGCATAGGTACACACATGCCATCACACACATGTAGAGGTCAGAGGACAACCTGGGGGGTCAGTTGTCAGTTCTTTCCAATGTACCAAATAGACTCCACAGATTGAACTTGGGAGTTTTGGCAACAAGTCCCTTTACCTGCTGAGACACCTTGCCAGACTGAACTGTTCCAACTGAGTTGTCCCCCTAGGCCTTGAACGCTTTTCGTAAAGTCCCCAGCTCTTCCCTGTCACTAGAAACTTCCTATCTGTAGTAGAAAGTAGTGCTGAAGGACAGACTGTGGGTTCTGGGACCATACAACCTGGGTCCAGATATGGGCTTTGTCTTCGAGAAAGTTGCTTAAAATTCACCTGCACAGGGAACAATAGTAACGGGGTCTTAGCCATGGGGTTGCCATGAAGCTAGCCGAGGCAGTGGTGTAAGTCACTTAGCACAGTCTGCCATATAATTGCTTCTCACCAAGACTTAGTTGTGCCATTGCTATCATTTCTGAGGAGACGGGAAGCAAGCACTCATCAGTGTGGACACATTTCCCATGCCACAGTTATGGTTAGAGTGCTTTCTTGGCCTCTACTCTCTCTGCCTTGAATACAGAATGTATTAGGAGATGGGGCTAGACAGAGCAGCAGGGCAGGGAATTTGACCAGTTGAGGATCCCAGGCAGATAGGATTAACGTTCCCCATGTTGTCTCTGGTGTGGTAAATTATAATGTGTTTCACCTCAAAGTCACACTTAGAAACTTCCTGACACTGTAGTAACAGTAAAATGGAAGTCTCTATTTTCCTACCTCCAGGACTGGGGTTCTAATTCTCTTTATAATAATGCCAGGTGATTGTGTATTCATCTATTTATTTATTCTGTGTGTGCACATATGCATGTCTCTCTCTCTCTCTCTCTCTCTCTGTGTGTGTGTGTGTGTGTGTGTGTGTATGTGTGTGTGTGTGCATAGATCAGAAGACTTGTGGGAGTCAGTCCTTACCTTCCATATTGTGAATTCTGGGAGTTGAACTCAGGTCATCAGGCTTGGGGGCAAGCACCTTTATCAACTGATCCCTTTCACCGGCTCCTTCAAGTCATTTTGAAAACATTGTTGAGCCTTAAATTTTGTTCTAAAACTAGAGGAAAACAATAAAGAAAAAGCATTGAAGAGAGGATGACTGCAGCAGCTTCAGAAAAATTGGTTTCACAAGATTCTGCAGTTCCTGAGAAGGACACCAGTGTGCTCAAGAAAGTCCACAAAACCCCAAGCCTGAGTGCAGACAATGGTGATCAATCCTGGTGGTGTGAGCTGACTCTTAGGGGTCTCGGTATGAACACATGAGCAGGGAGGGTCTCAGAAAACAGAGATGCTTGTACACTTTGTTTGGTCTTTCCGATATGAAGTTTACCGTCTCAGAGTCTGCTCACCCAATGCAAGGAGGGCATTCCTCAGAGCCCCTCAGGTACATCTTCCCAAGAACTGACCTTACCCAGTGTTGATGTGCTGACAGAAGTCAAAGCCCAAGATGGAGGCAGGCAGCTTGACTAATCTCAGTTATCACAGCAGATGGAAAACTAGACAAAACTTTCCATAGAACCAGTCTACCACAAAACTGTTTGATGCGACAGAAGGATGCTAAGAATTGCCCCTTACTTGATGTAATAAAATTGCTGGGTTTCTACTCACCCCTTCTGATAATTTTCACAGATTTCTCTCCGGTGGTGTACATTTTCAATTCAGACCCCTCCATCACATGTAAAACTCACTGCATCCTACTAGGATGTGTGACAATTCCTGGTGCATGGATTGGCAGGCTCCTCTTGAAACACATGCCCCTGCTGTCACCCTGACAAATGACCTCTCACGGGTACCGCTCAGCAGCCATTTTCCAATGGGTACACACACTTGGGCTTGCACTGCCGAGAAAGCATGTTTTACACCCACCGCCAGAATGCTTTTTGATCATTTCAGTTGTTTTGTTTCATCTCTGCTTTTTGTTTAATTTCGTTTACAGTACAAATAGCCTCAGCAGAAGCCGACCATTAATTCTGGGAAACAGAGCCAACATCTCATTCTAGTCCTTCCCTCCCCCATGAGCCATCTCTTCATGGACTAGGAGGGGCCTTACTCACGCTCCTTCCACTATTGCTGGAAGGAGGAAGAGCCCCATGTCCCCTCACGTCTGTTGCAGGACAGGGGCCCATGAGGAACTCAGCACTCTGGCTGTGAGACAGAGGGAGGTGATCAGAGCCAAGGCTGCAAGAAGCAAGAAAAAGCTCCTTTTTCAGATTCAAAGAGCCTTCCAGTGCTAGGTAAGGGTGCCAGTCAGTGCTGGAGCCTTCAAACACTACTGTGGTCTTCCCCTCCCCTTCCCCATACTATGGGAGCCCCCTCCAGCAACTTTGCTTAATTAACCTGTTCTGAGAGACTAGAAAATCCCCTCAGCTGAACAGCCCACAAATTGAGCCTGAACAGCTAGCAGATTCCTGTCATGTATGCTGTTCAGAGTATTAATTATACTACCAAGCCCTCTGTGTGCCCACCCTGCCATTAAAAGACCAGAATTAAGAGGAGCATCCATTTGCTAAGGAAGTCCATGCACAGGAACTGTGTCCATGGGAGGCTTGGCATGGGGGTAACCAATGCATACCTATACACTCAAGTTTCAAAGGACAAAAGTCGGGCTGAGACAGTTCAGTAGGTAAGAGAATGAGCCTGAGTTCAAATCCCCAACACTAGTGAAAAACAACAAGCTGGGTAGAGATGCAGGTGCCTGTAGACCCATGTGTCTCAAGGGAACCAGGTAGAGAGCAATAGATTGGGACAGACAATTACCTCTGCACAGATGTATGTACACACAAGCAAACACACACACACATGGTGTGTGTTACCCAGTAGATGAAGACACTGCAGAAGACACCAAATCTCAGGTATGATGTTCATGATTGTATCTACAACTATAGAAAAAGTAATTTGCAAATTAGGACTGGAAAAATATTAATTCAACATAGATACAACAATTGGAACACATGCCATAATTAAAAGTTATGTCTATGTGAATGTACTCTTTCTTTCTCATTCCCCAAATACCTTAACAAGACATACCCATCCTTCCTCTGGTGATGGGAGATGATACAATAACTATGTGAAAAGATGGGCGCTAAATGACGAATGTGCCATGCCATGGCAGTAAGTTACTACCACATCATTACCTAAGGATGTGACTATGACAGTTGACTTGATAACAAAGATGGCTTCCCAGTGACTAGCAGGTGGGTGGTGTGTAGTGTGGGCAGTCTGAGGCAAAGAAAGACATTCATGTCTAGAGAGTTTATCATGCTACTCAAAATCGTATGCCATTTAAGGCTTATGAATTTTGATTTCTGGAACTTCCCATTTAATTTTTTTTCCTGTGGCTGGCTGTGGGTAACTGAAACCACAGAAAGTGAAACTGTGGATAAAGAGTGGCTACTGGCTTTCACTCCAAACGGTCCTACAGGATGGCTGAAAGGTCAAGGCCAGAGCACACTGGTCTAGGAGTTTGAGGAAGTTCCTATCCTTGTCTTCGTTGGTCACCCGCCTATCTCTCTGAGATCTGTCACTCGTTCATAAAATTCCAGGGAGGAATTTCTGGGGATGTTACAAGGACCTGTGACATAGCAACGCAAGTGAAAGCATTGGGCTAGCCAAACACAAGGGGCAGAGGCACCCCTTTCATCTCAGGCTACCCCTTCTGGGACTCATGTGATACAGTTGTCTGCTAATCTGCTTCCATCAGTAGCGAGACTATTGACTCCATGGGTAAGTCAGGCAGTGTAGACTTCATATGAAATGGAGAACTATGAACTGGTTTAAATTAAATAATTAAATTAAATGGGAATTTTGGATCAGAGATGGAGTTCAGAACCTTTTCCTCTTTTTGTCCCTTGCCATGCAACACTAGATACGTTATTGATCCTGACAACCGCCTTTGCTGTCTTACTTTGCTTTCCATTGCTGTGATAAAAGCCTAGGGAGGAAAGGGTTTTATTTGGTTTACACTTCCACATAAAAGTCAAAGCAGGAACCTGGAGGCAGGAATGGGATCAGAGACCACGGAGAAACTCTGCTTACTGGTTTTCTCCTCATGGCTTGCTCACCCTCTTTTGTTATACAACACAGGACTCTCTGAGTCTACAGATCGAGTTCCAGGACAGTTAGCTGGTCATATTACATCCAAAATCAAGGACAGGGTTATATGAATGCATAGGTACTCAGTTGCTCTCTTCTTTGTGCCCAATTTGATTTCTCCACTCTTATACAGTTCAGGATCCCTCATCTAGGGAATTGTACCACCCACAGTGGGCTGGGTATCCCTACATCAATCATAACGACAACCCCTCCCACAGACACGCCCTGACACTCTAGGTTGTGTAAAACTGACAATGAAAACTAACAAAAAATCACAAAATATAATGATCAGTTGGCAAAACTGTGAGAAGCTTGAAGAAACATAACCTGACATTTCTTGCTTAGAATAATTACTCATTCCTCATTGAGTTCAATGTTTACAGCAAGTTACCAAGCATAGTGATCACTTGACACAAGAATTACCTGTAATTCTTCTTGAATGAGGTTAACAAAACATGGCTTATTAATTTTCGTATTCTTCCATTTTCTTTCGGGCTTCTGGTCTGGTATCTGAAAGCTGCTGACTCACCTGGGTTGCCAATTTCTCTTGTAGGTACTTTCCACAATAAATAGTTACCTATACCCTCATCAAGTGTGCTGTTTATTTTTACAGTTAGCCAACTAAAAGGTCTGCATTTTACAGGCAATTCTGGATGGGGAGAGATTTGATTCAGAGTCTGTCTGAAATGAAGCATTTGTTAAATGTTATCTGGGATAAAGGTCCTGGTGAGCAATGGTACCCATCACTCAGGAGAGGGCTGGCAAACTTCTGTAATAAGTAATTGCTTTGTGTTTAATGCAGTTGGGTTTGCTGGATTCCAGATTAAGAGCACCCTAGAGTCTACACAATATAGAAAGGAATGAAGTGTTTTTGTTGGTTACTAACAGGCTGATGGCAAAGACCATACTACTGTCTCACAGGTGAGTGACAGCTGTGTGTAGTTTTCTAAATATAAATATAAATATCATCCATTCTCTATTGGCTGAGTCCAAAAATCTTCTACTCAGACTCACCATGGCCCCCCTTAGGAGGAAAGTAATTGTACTTAACCACTTTATTCAAGGTACTTGAAGAACAGCACATACACTGAATATATTGGGGCTGAGAAAATGACTCAACAGGTATATCATCTGCCCAGCAAGCACAAGTACCAGAGTTCAAATCCCAGAAGCCGCATAAAGCTATTATGATAGCATACATCTGTAGTCCTAGTGCATCCCTATGATGAAAGAGAGGGGAGACTGGGGGTAGGGAGGATTGGAGTGCGGACAGACATAGGAAAATCCTTGAAAGCTTCTAGATCAACTAACCTGGCACATGTGGGGAGTGGAGGATGGTGGGGGGAGAGGATTAACAAGAGACCTTGTCTCGAACAAGACGGGAAGAGGCGATCAACACCCGTGGTTGCCTCTGACCTCTACACTTGCTATACTGTACATGCACACCCACATTTACACACATGAATGCCTTGCACACATACATAGCTACACACTTAAAAATCATAGGTATAGCTAAAGGGGTCAAAAGGAGAGACAGCTGGCACCTGGACACGATGGTTCTTCCCCTCCCGTTTCCCATTATCTACCCCCACCCACTCTTGACCCTCCTTTCACAGTCAGACAAGATTCTTCAAGGGGACCTTCTTCAAAAGCAGCCAATCCAGGCTGCTAAATAAACAAATATGGCTGAGGCATCCCTGCCCTAAGACGGCGAAGCTTAGATCTGTTCCACAACCTGATAAGGCAGACACAACAGCAAAACAGGTAGTGGGGGAATTGCTGGTGTGTCCTGACAACCCGTGCAATGTCTACACCACGTTTCTCTGAGAAAGAATGTCTACACCTCAGCCCTTGGTCACAGTTCTTTGGGTTTGCCTAGGAAAAGTCATATATGAATGGAAAGACTTACGGACAAGGGGGCTCCAGGAGAAGGGAGCAGAAGTCTTCAGGGACCAGGAGGGAGGGAAGAGCAAGTGTGCAGAGCTGTAGAGAACCCTCACCCGTGAGGGTGCAGAATGTGAAGGTGATTGTGGGAGGGGCAGAGAGGATAGAGCCCAGATTGCTCGGTGAAGCCCAGTGAAAGCCTGGCCACTGAGGGTGAAGGGATGTGTGAGCCTGGAGACAAAGGAGATCCACTGGATGACTCCCAGCAGGAGATCACAGCACTTAGAACAGCAGTGAGGAGAATAAAAGCATCAGAGAGAAAGCCAGGGGCCCAGAGGCTCAACCATGAGGAGGCTTGACCTCTACAGGCAACAGGGAGAAAAGGTGGGTCACCCGGCTGGGGCTGCGATCCTGGGAACTGAGCGGAGGATGGGGCAGGGTGCTCAGGGAGACGGGAGACTTGAAGACTGGGTTTGGAGCACAGTGGCTGGGAGGTAGAGGTGTGTGGTGAGCGAGGTGGAAGGAAGGGCTTGGCGTGCGGTGTTTAAGATGCTGGAAGCAATTGGAAATTGGCAGAGTCTCCATATGACTTCATCTGAATTGCATTTCAGATATTAACTCACCAACTGTTCCGACTTTGTTTCTTTGTTACCTACTAGTGTTTCCCAAAAAGAGTGTGCACGGGCCTGGTTTCTCAGACCAGGCCTGGCCAAGTGGAGTTGAGTCTATCACTGACAAAGTGCTTGTTAGAAAAAGTGTTTCTCAACAAAGGCTGCATGAGGATTAAATCCTTAGACTCTGGGCTGCTGATGCTCCCTGAAAAATCTTGATCTGGTCTTTTTTTTTTTTTTTAACCCCATCCTTCCTTCAGTCTCATCACTTTCACATACATGCTCTCTCTCTCTCTCTCTCTCTCTCTCTCTCTCTCTCTCTCTCTCTCTCTCTCTCTCTCTCTCTCTCTCTCTCTCTCTCTCATCTCTATTATACCAAGCCCAGACACCATCAACTGTAAAAGACAGATACACAGGTGAATAATCACACATGTCTTTTAAGAACTTACAGATCTGTGGAGGACTCCCGTGACTAGCTGAGCAGTCAGCATGCCTAAAACAGTGAGTTAGGCAGCACAGAAATAGGCACCTTCGTTGTGGTTTGTTTTCTCAAGACGGGGTTTCTCCGTGAAACAGACCTGGCTGTCCTGGAACTCACTCTGTAGAACAGGCTGGCCTCAAACTCACAGAGATCTGCCTGCCTCTGCCTCCCAAGTGCTGGGATTAAAGGAGTGTGCCACCACCGCCCAGTAAATATGCACGCTTAACTGCTGAGCCCCAGATTGGTCTTTCTTGTCTTTGTAACCAAACACCTGACAGAAAGAATCTAAGGGATATTTTGGGCTCATGGTCTTAAAGGCTGCAGCCCATGGCTGCTTGGTCCTGTTCTATTGGGTAGAACATCGGGGTAGCAGAAGTGTGTGGTAGAAGAGAGTCTTCCCTTGGAAGCAGGAAGAGGGAGATAGAAAGGGGCCGGGAACAAGATACCCCTCACTCCAAGGAGCCAGATCAATGAGCCAAGTCCCGCCACCTAAATTTTCCAGAAGATTCCCAAATAGCACCAAGAATAACAAGTCCGGCAGCAGAATTCAAGTTTGTTGCACTGTTATTAACATTGAGAATTTTGATTAAATTATTAAAGGTCCTGATGCCTCAATATTCTTATCTGTAAAATGGTAGCAAAAACCATGCTCCATAGGGCTTACAAAAATTCAGTGGTAACTCCGACCTAATCTAAGTGGTACTGGGCAACCAATTATGTTCCCAGTATGTGTTAAGCAGTCAGCACGTCTTGGTTTTTATTAACTGGCAGTGCATTCAAATGTGCTGTCATTTAATCCTTGTTACAGTTGGGGGGGGAGAAAACATTATTACTTTCTCCACTCATAAATGAAGACTTCAAGACCCCGAGAAAAGAGCCAATCTGTCCCAAGTGGTCGACAGTGCCATGTGTTTTGTTTCAGGGCAGAGTAAATTAAGGAAGGATGCTGTGACTCCCAGCCTGACCTCTAACTTCAAAACTGGAGGCAGTGTAAAACTGGCCAATCAGCAAATAATCAGCAATGATGGGAGCTGCTGCTAGCATCCCCTAGTTTAAGCTTATCCCACAGATAGCCAGTTAGCATTATTTGATTGTGATAATAAATTAGATTGGCCAGGTATTTTCTTCTTTGATTCTGGGAACTGTCCTCGGAGGCCAGGCTTATTGAAAAAAATTAGTTTCTAATTTCCCACAATTGAAACGAGTTTGCTATAATTAATAAGTGAATTGATGGTGTTTTAGACAATGTCACCTTACAGTCAGAAGGCTCCGTGAAAATACTAACAGGAAGTGTGTGCACACAGAGATGCTTGAGGGCAGTCAGAAGACTACAAATAGAAACTTTAAGCTGCACAGAAATGGATGGCTTCCTAGGGTTCCCCCCCCCCCACAAACACCAACAAGTCCTGGTGGAGATACACACACACACACACACACAAGTCACAGTGGAGATATCTTCTCCAGGCTCGCTCTCCTTAAGCATTTTCTTATTCCTCCTTGAAGAGACTTTGCCTTCTTTTTCTATCTTTCTTTTTTTAGACAGGTCTCACTACTACATAGTTCAGGTTGGCCTGAAGCTTGTTACATAGCCCAGGCTAGCCTTGAACTCAGAGAGGTTCTCCTGTTTCTTCCTCCTGAGTGCTGAGGTTAAAAGTGTGCAACACCATGCCCAATTCTGAAGTCTTTTTGAAACAAGATTTTATTTTTATTTGATGAATATGAGTGTTTTGCCTGCAGGGCTTGCGGAGGCTGGAATAGGGTCTTGGATCCCCCTGGACTTGGAGTTACAGATGGTTGTGAGCTGCCATCTAGGTGCTGGGACCAAACCCGGTCCTCTGGAAACACAGCAAGTGCTCTTAACCCTGAGCCATCATGCTAACCCCCAAAGTGTCTCTTAAATCTCCAGTGTCTTTGCCTTCTAGTTGACCTGTCACAATGAATTAGGGGCCAGATTCCCTCTCAGGACAAATCACATCTTTAACTCTGGCTCAACATGAAAGCCGCTGGTCACTACAGAAAGAGTTGCATCAGGCACAGAGATACAGACACAACAGTGAGGCCGCAAATAGTGAAACTGCATGTGGGATGAAAAGGATGATGGGGCTGAAAAGACTGTTCAGTGGTTAAGACCACTTACTGCTCTTGCAGAGCCCTGCCTGTGTCTGACTCCAGGAGATTTAACACCCTCCAAAGTTACAGCCCACATGTGCCCACGTCTGACCTCCAAAGGCACTGCTCACATGTGGCCCACATAAACTCACATATGCACATACATGCGGGCACACAGATGTGGCTGGGGGCTGGGAAGACGTCTCAGAGCCTAAAATGCCTGTTGCATAGCACAAGGACCTGCATTTATATTCCCAGTACCCACATTGGAAAGTCAGGCGTGCCTGCTGAGGTCTGTGATACCAGGCCTAGAGGGGCAGAGATGCGGATCCCTGGAGCTACTGGTCAGTCAACCTGCCTCATCTGCATCCATGAGAAACCCCACCTCAAAAGTAAGTTAGAGAGCAATGAGAAAGACACCCAGTGCTCCAGGAAGGAGACCACTGAGCAGTAGACGGTACACTACTCATGGAGAATGCAGGCGCATCCCAGGCCTGTTCCTATAGGTGCTCACTGGATCTGATAGGAGCAGAGCACTTGGTGTGTGTCCTCTCTCTAATAAATGAAGCCTTTGCTATAGCTTGACATTTTGTGCTCCTCATAGGGTCTGACATATGGCAGAAACTCAGCAAATATCTGTTAAATGGGTTAAGTGATGAGGGATGTTAGAATGCTGGAAATGTATTGCTCTAACCTCACTCCGTAGTAACTACCTTGTCAGGGGTGAGACATTTGGTATGTGGCCAAAACTGTGCTAAGAATAACGCATGGATATATATGTGTGAATATGTCTAACTGATCCTCACAAACATTATTCTAAGGGAGATTCTCTCAGTCCATTTTTGTAAGAGAGTAAATTAAGACATAGGGAAATTTTCTATTCTAAAGACCAAGTCACTACTGAGTATCAGAAATCACAGTCTATCTGTTCCCCTGGTCAACAAGTTGGACCATTCAATAAATTATACTGTTCGAGAAGCATGATTATGCTTGAACCTGAATTGGACTCCAAAAGTTGTGTCAAGAGACTTCCCTGTACCCTCTGGGGATCTTCTACCAAATTGAGGTCATTGTCCTTTTGGAAAGGGGCAGGGAGGGACTGAGGCGGGGTCTCATATAGCCCAGGCTGGCCTTGAACTTGTTATGTAGCTGAGGATGGCCTTGACTTCCTGATCTTCCAGTCTTCACCTCCTAAGTGGTAAGATTGCAGGTGTGAGTCACCACACCCAGCCTCATTGCCCTTGCTGTGCACTCTTTGGGCATGTCTCCACCAGCACACTCAATACATTGTCAAATAATTAATTATCTGGTTAGCTGGGCAACCTGACAGCAGGGACTCTTGTTCACTTATGTTCTCCCATTGTGAATAGCAAATGTCTGGAATACTGTAAGTGCTAAATAAATGTTTGTGGAGTTGATTAATTATCAAACTCTGAATAAACAATCGTTATTTAGACGACACGTTGGCTGGAGACAATTTTGACTTTGATCCAAGGATTCCTTCATGCAAGACCTGAATGGTCCAAGTGATAAGATAATACAATGGTTTCTCCACATCTCAGCAGTTCATGTGGGACTGGATTTATTGCCCTCTGGAGTGCAATGCTGCTCAACTTTGCTGCTTGGTCAACCAGTGGTGAATTTAAGTGTGGGGCTGTTGACTACCATACAAGCTGACCTTGGGAGCCTGAAGCTCTTACTGGAGTGGAGGATTTGTTATGAGGTGTTAACAGGATCTCTGAGTCCTCAAGGAGAGTGAACAGAAGAGGCTAGTAGGAAT